ATACAAAGAAATCCTTTCCACCAAAACCTACAAGGTCCATACTCCCCCCGCAAAGCCAAATTGTGTCGCGTGGCTTGGAGGTAAAGTGTTTAACAGATCGGTTCTGCAAGTCCAATGGGTCTCTGAAATTATTTATCACAAACTCTGAGCATGTTTTAGACTTTCAATAATTTAGAAAGTAAAATTGAAACAAATTATAACATGGGTTTTCAGTTCTTTGTGTAATATTTTCTTTTTTTTTTCTTGGGCGGTTCTACATAAATGCATAACATAATATCGGGGGATTGTGCCATGGAGGAAAAAAGAGACTGTGAGATCTGCTGTAACCATCTCCCCTTAGTCTTCAGCAAAATTAAAGGAACACTATAGTCACCTAAATTACTTTAGCTAAATAAAGCAGTTTTAGTGTATAGATGATTCCCCTGCAATTTCACTGCTCAATTCACTCTCATTTAGGAGTTAAATCACTTTGTTTCTGTTTATGCAGCCCTAGCCACACCTCCCCTGGCTATGATTGACAGAGCCTGCATGAAAAAAAAAAAACTGGTTTCATTTTTAAACAGATGTAATTTACCTTAAATAATTGTATCTCAATCTCCAAAATTGAACTTTAATCACATACAGGAGGCTCTTGCAGGGTCTATTAAGCTATTAACATAGCAGGGGATAAGAAAATCTTAATTAAACAGAACTTGCAATAAAGAAAACCTAAATAGGGCTCTCTTTACAGGAAGTGTTTATGGAAGGCTGTGCAAGTCACATGCAGGGAGGTGTGACTAGGGTTCATAAAGAAAGGGATTTAACTCCTAAATGGCAGAGGATTGAGCAGTGAGGCTGCAGGGGCATGTTCTATATACCAAAACTGCTTCATTAAGCTAAAGTTGTTCAGGTGACTATAGTGTCCCTTTAATGTGCAAAAATGTTTTAAGTGACTTGTCCAAAAAAAAATCCTAGTTTTCATTGAACTAATCAATTCTGGAAGTTTGGTTAGTTCGTAAAGGAACCAAATCCTTTTGAAAGGGATTTTAAAACAAACCTAATTTTCGAAATTGATTCATTCAACAATTACCAGGAGTTTTGTTCAGACGTATCGCCTAAAACATATTTTTTCACACGTAGAATTGTACTATCCAGATTTATTTTAGGAAAAGGATTGGTGTGAATTGTTGGAAAGGTTTTCATATTTGACTAAAAATATGATGTGAATAAAGAGACAAATTTCCATTAAAGGACCACTGTCGTCAGACTTGCACTTCTCACTTTGTAAATGGTTATTGCATTTAATGAAACTTGGAGAACACTTTCACTTTTTACGTGGCTGAGCAGCTGTTTTTTTTCAGACTGCACCGTTATCTGACCAACTGCAGTTTTCATTTTGTTGACTAACCATTTTAGTCGACTAAAACAAAAAAAAGTTAAGATGACTAAAACCTAAATGGCATTTTAGTCAAATGTCTGACTAGTTTAAATTCAAATTTGCCGCCAAAATGAAACTACACAGAGGGGCTGGGGAAGGGTCAAAAGAGACGGAGGCTTTAACTAAACCCGTTGGATTTTAATCTTGTCAACTAAAGTCTACTGGAGATATATTCGACTAAAACTATTCCGATTCAAAAAATATGACTGAAACTAAAATGGCTTTTTAGTCAAAAGACTGACTAAAATTAAAGTGCAATTTGCCGCCAGAATTAACACTGACCAACTGCTGCTGCTTTGATTGCCAAGCGTGAACCTACGGCAGCAGCAGTTGGTCAGAACAGTAGAATCGACCCAACATGGCTGCTCAACCAGATACAAATTAAAATGTTCTCAAAGAAATGAATATACATAATTAAAAAAAATTACTTGTTTCAGTAAATGCAATAAATGTTTAAAAAGGAAGTAAAATGTTTTATGACCGTTGTTCTTTTTAGGAAAAAACTAATTAACAAGGATATATATATATTTTTTTTCTTATAGGTGCAGTATTTGGAGCTTTGCAAGATATCCTTGGGAGCCGCTCTGTATCAAAAGAATACTATAACCAGTCGGGCCGTATACCAGACTGGTGCTGTCTGAATAATCCTCCTCTTGTATCCATGTTTGATATTGGAAAATCTGGCCCTCCACTCATGAAAAGAGCCTTCTCCACTGAGAAGTGAGCTCACTCACACCGACCCCTATCTCTGGATAATGTATCAATTCAACTCCCTTAAAACAAACTGTTATGATTTGCAATATTTATTCTACTATTCTGTGCTAAAAATAAATGTTCTGTTTTAGACTGCCATGTTTTATAACTTATTTTTTGTTCCTGTAGTTAACTAAAACTGAACGAATTGCTTGCCATTTTTTTTCTTTTGTTAAACATACGTAGATTGCTTAAAGGGGAGATTTGCACTAGTGTTCTTACAGTGGACGAGATGCTATTGGCTTCTAGTAAACATTATTTTTTTTAATCTTTAAATTATGTTAATAAAATTACCATCATGTTTATAGGCGTCAACATATACATACTCCACATTTACATCTGCCTGCTCCAAGATGGCTGCTGCCCAACCCAAAATGCTCACTTTTGACATCCCACAATTGGTAACCTGTGATCTTTCACTGGGCACATACTGTTATTTTGTCAAGTGGTGCCTTGTTACAGTTGTGTGATCGATACACCTTAACTGCAATTTAATGCAACAATGATGCTTTCTGTTCTAGGATAATGAACACTTACATAAATCTAGCACTTAATCTTGACTGGCACCAATATGCAACATTTTTGCAGTGACTGTGATACCAAAATATTAAAAAGGTTTCCTTTCTGATATTGCTCTTTGCTTTACTTATGAAGTATTATCAGTGAAAACACTATGCCTTTCCCCATGCAATGGATTCCTGAACTGGGCCACACAAATCATTTTAAAATGTTAATTCCAGTGCTCTGCGTCGGGTCATGATGGCTTTATTTCGTGTTAATTCACTCTCTATAACTATTCCCAGATAATGAACTGAGCTTTATTGTATTTATAACACACATCATATCTCCACTTATTGAGCTATGTTCTATCTGTTTACCAGCAGTTCTAATCCCACACTATGTATTGCTGTAACCTCCGCAAAATGAGACCACTAACACCATATCCTGTAGAAAACTGCAATTAAATGTTTATAACACAATTTATTTATTTTTGTTTTGTTTTTTCCCAGTAATAATTATGTGTTTTATAAATACTGACCAGATCTTGCTCATTTTATGATTTTTGCTAAATCTTCATGTAACAAGGGCTGTTTCCCCTAGGAATAATATGAAAGGAGGTGGAACAGCAAAAAGACTGATCAAAGACCATTAATGTAACTTGTAGAATTGTTTTTATTTATGACTTGAAAAGACCAAACCTATAAACTGGTTTACAAAAAAAAAAAAAAAAAAAAGAGTATGTTCCTCAGTAGTTTGATTATTTGTTTATTTTGAAAAAAATACAAATTTAAAAGTGTGTGTGTGTGTGTCAGTGTGCAGTCACCCCCCCCCCACTATAAGTAAATAAGGCCCATTGTTTAATAGTAACACTTGCAACGTGTGTTTTGCTATTTTAAAATACACTGAATAAAACACTAACATTCTTTAACAATACCATTCATCTGGTATACAATAGCTTGCTAGTGTGCAGGATTTTATCACATGAAAGATTTATAAAAATCTATCTATATGCAGAGTTATTCACTTAAAATGTAAAGCCAAAGTAACCGATTTGGAGACTTTTTCTAGTTCGGCTATTGCGACCTTGAATTTGAAATTCACTTTGATTTCTTGTCTGTTCTCACTTTAGTAAATAGCTCTGTTAGTATTTTTAGTATTACATAACCATTCTATTCCTGCTGTATCATTCCCTGAAAAAGATTATTCTCCTCCCAATTAAAGAAAATCCTAGCACCCACGTGTGTATGCACATAACTTCCTAAATTCACCTTTCTTAAGAGGGCAAATAAATATTGTACAGGTGAGGTGTTTAAATGTTGAAAATAAGCTTGTAAATAACGGTGTCCTGTAATTATAAAATTGTCATGTTTTCACCATGCTGTTAGCGGACTTATTTTCCAATAAACCTAAAATAAACAAACCGCCCATGTTTTGTTTTTTGATTATAAGGATACCATAGTCATCAAAACAACTTTTGCTTAATGAAGCAGTTTTGGTGTATAGATCATGCCCCTGCAGTCTCACTGCTCAATTCTTTGCCATTTAGGAGTTAAATAACTGTTTATGCAGCCCTAGGCACACCTCCACTGGCTTTAACTTACACAGCCTTCCTAAACACTTCCTGTAAAGAGTCATCTAATGTTTACACTTCCTTTATTGCAAATTCAGTTTAATTTATAGTTTTGTATCTCCTGCTCTGTTAATAGCTTGATAGACCTTGCAGGAGCCCCCTGTATGTAATTAAAGTTCATTTTACAGAGCAGGAGATACAAATTTTTAAAGTACGTTACATCAGATGGAAAATGAAACCATTTTGTTTTCATGCAGGCTGTGTCAGTCACAGCCAGGGGAGGTGTGGCAAGGGCTGCATAAACAGAAACAAAAGTGATTTAACTCCTAAAGAGCAGAAAATTGAGCAGTGAGACTGCCATGATCTATACAAAATACTGCTTCATTAAGCTAAAGTGGTTTTGTTGACTATAATGTCCCTTTAAGTCTTGGAAACCGTGTATAAGTATTCAAAATAGAATAATTTTTTTGAAATGCTCATATCGTACACAGAACAAATTATTGCTCATCTTTAGGCTCTATTAAAGGTGAGCAGTAATTTGTTGGCAATAATATTATTACATACTTGATATCTAGATATACTACACTAGGAGTTTGTGCTTGCTTTTCCTGAGCATATTATCCAAGAAGACAGAAAATGGGGATTGTCACCTGAGTACACGGTGTTTATGATCTGAGCCTGTCTTCTGAGGCTCACTTCCATGTAATCAGGACGACTCTATTACGTATCTCAGTGCTGTATGGTTTCTACTTTTTCTCCCATATTTATAGTTATTTCCCCTGTTCCCTCATTAGGGGGTAGGTGTTTGAATTATACACCATAAACGCTCCAATCTATAGGCTGGTGGTTTATCTTCCCTCAACCTTTTTTTCTTGCACATCTACATAAACCAATAACTGTGATGTTATGGCTGATATCCCTTTGCTGAGCAGTTCCAATGATCCCATAAATTGCTGCTGCCGCACACCGCTTTATTGGATAAGAGCAGACCTTGGCCTCCCAGAGTAACCTCTACCTCACATACCTGCCTCTTGATATCTCCTAAAGGGCAGCATTCTCTCTATACGGACTCTATGGTAGTTTGTGCTGTGTTACTAGCAGGCTCCGCTATGTCTCTCTCTCTCTCTATACGGACTCTATGGTAGTTTGTGCTGTTACTAGCAGGCTCCGCTAGGTGTCGCTCTCTCTGTCTATACGGACTCTATGGTAGTTTGTGCTGTTACTAGCAGGCTCCGCTCGGTGTCTCTCTCTCTCTATACGGACTCTATGGTAGTTTGTGCTGTGTTACTAGCAGGCTCCGCTAGGTGTTGCTTTCTCTATACGGACTCTATGGTAGTTTGTGCTGTTACTAGCAGGCTCCGCTAGGTGTCGCTCTCTCTCTCTCTATCCGGACTCTATGGTAGTTTGTGCTGTTACTAGCTGGCTCCGCTAGGTGTCGCTCTCTCTCTATACGGACTCTATGGTAGTTTGTGCTGTTACTAGCAGGCTCCGCTAGGTGTCGCTCTCTCTCTCTCTATACGGACTCTATGGTAGTTTGTGCTGTTACTAGCAGGCTCCGCTAGGTGTCTCTCTCTCTCTCTCTCTATACGGACTCTATGGTAGTTTGTGCTGTGTTACTAGCTGGCTCCGCTAGGTGTCGCTCTCTCTCTCTCTATACGGACTCTATGGTAGTTTGTGCTGTTACTAGCAGGCTCCGCTAGGTGTCTCTCTCTCTCTCTCTCTATACGGACTCTATGGTAGTTTGTGCTGTGTTACTAGCAGGCTCCGCTGGTTACTAGCAGGCTCCGCTAGGTGTCGCTCTCTCTCTCTCTATCCGGACTCTATGGTAGTTTGTGCTGTGTTACTAGCAGGCTCCACTAGGTGTCACTCTCTCTCTCTCTATCCGGACTCTATGGTAGTTTGTGCTGTGTTACTAGCAGGCTCCGCTCGGTGTCTCTCTCTCTATACGGACTCTATGGTAGTTTGTGCTGTGTTACTAGCAGGCTCCGCTAGGTGTCGCTCTCTCTCTCTATACGGACTCTATGGTAGTTTGTGCTGTGTTACTAGCAGGCTCCGCTAGGTGTCGCTCTCTCTCTATACGGACTCTATGGTAGTTTGTGCTGTTACTAGCAGGCTCCGCTAGGTGTCGCTCTCTCTATACGGACTCTATGGTAGTTTGTGCTGTTACTAGCAGGCTCCGCTAGGTGTCGCTCTCTCTCTCTACGGACTCTATGGTAGTTTGTGCTGTGTTACTAGCAGGCTCCGCTAGGTGTCGCTCTCTC